CGTTTTGCTGATTTCTGTATGTCTTCAGTCAAGAGCAGAATTAGAGAAGACATCGAAATCAACCGACTAGGCAATACATTGAATGTCAACAATACCGACACGAAGTTAAGTAAAAACTACTTATTGAGTTGGCCCGAGATTTCTTTCACAACTTGGTCAGAGCGTGAGGGAGAAAAATTAGACGATTTCCTGATCTTCATAAGCGAAATGAATGAAAAAGCCAAATTCACCATGGATGCGGAAGAGAACGGACACTTAACTTTCTTGGATATGGAAGTCATTCGCTCCAATGAAACACTCAAGAAAAGATGTGTTTATCCTATTTCGTTTAAGATGATGAAGGACTGAAGGTTCAATTTTTCCATAATAATGTGAATAGACCTTACTCTTCTATTGAATTTCATCTAACTTTGATTTCCCAAAAAGTACTCTTACGCCTCAGCTTGGTCTCGTCAGCACCCCAAGCGGGACTCAAACCATGACATTGTATTTTGACACGTCAACCACTACGCCACATTGCCACGAGTAACCTGCGGTTACAGGTCAGATGTGCATATCAAGTAGGGCCAATCAATTTCCCATAACACATTCTGTTGCTATAGCAATCGACTACATTGCCTATTTTTCGTTTGTAAATAGTGTTGATTCGAGCTCGTTTTCGCAACTTGGCTCAAGCTACAGGGACACCTTGTGGAACGTATCCAATCCTTTGTTCTCTGTCATAATATTTGTGATTTCCAGCCTGGACCACTTGGTACATTCACATACGTTTCGCCGGCATCGTCGGTGAGAGGCGCAAACCCCTTTACAAATTTTCTGCTCAATTGTTGTGGCATTACTTCTCGCTCTTATTTTCAAACAGAAGATCATACCGTATTGGTATTCATATCTACATCGCATTAGTCTATTCTTATCATCACTCTAATTATGTTCACTTTTTAGTACTTTTCGTCCACGCTTTCTCTCTCACATGTAGACAAAAAGCTCATGAACTTAACCAGACGTGTGTCTGACTTAGCGCAATCGGAGTGATGGTTAAAATTTATATTAAAAAACATAATATTGTTGTGTGTGAGTGTGATGGTGATCAGCACCACTTGATGGCCGAGTTCTGTTCTTATTATTTGGAGTCAACACTGCTGGTTTCTTAAATATACGAGCACATAAAGGCCCATAAGCACACACAGACATCCGCATGCTTCGAGGTTGACATGACCAAATAGATTTATATCTCATAAAAGAGCTTAAATTTAGAGCATATTTACACCAGTTAGGTATAAGATGGTTGAATATGGTTGTAAGGGTGATACCCTCCCTGCTCTGATGTTGTGTGTCATACAACAGACAAAAGATGTGCACCTTTTCATCGGAATCAAAGAACATTCCCTCGGAAACAGTTTCAACAAGAATGTTCCAGTAAAGCCAATTGACAGCTGGTCAAGAGAAATCCGCCATCGTCTTCTGGTGGGATCCATCTTCGAATCTCTTCACCAAACACTTTCACACGAAATGTAAGTTCTTCGCATAAATGAACCGTATTCATCCTCAGGTCACATGAGATGATGTCAGATTGACTGAAGGTAGAATTCTGCGACAATGAAGTTAGTCGACCTTAAGATGTCATTCAAGTTCACGCTTGCTTGCCTCCCTCAAAGGCGTTCTCCTCCTGCCCCGACCACAGTTTCGCTCTCACTCCGTTCTCGTCTTTATCCCAAAAGGGACTCGAAACCAGCTCGGGCGCATTTACTGGGTCACAGAAACTGTGATTTTCAAGATAGGCTAGGCTCCTTCCACTTTGCCACCCCCACTTGTCGATGCTACCAGTTATTCGGTTAAAAGATTTTGAGGATTTTTTAGATCATAAATAAGTCATGCAAAAACAAGATCCGTTGTGAAATATGGAGACGAAGGAGAAGAGCGATAGAAAGAGTGTCATAAAGAACTAGTGGTTAGAGTTTCACTATGAGATGTGAAGTGAGATGGAGTTTTGAAGAAATCCTTAATAAATTGAGGTTGTTGAGCCTTACATTTCAAGTAAAAGATTTTAACCCTAAGCAGGCTTAGACTAAAGCCTAGAGCTTAATAGGTTTTCTTAAATAATGATATTTGTTTGACTTTGGTTTCGTAACTTAGTCATGTTGTCAGGTCGATCTCGATAAAGATGGCTTGTTCGAAATACACTTGCGTGGAAGTTGTGATGATTTCCATCTTCGGACCGTGGACATGAAACATTGCCAGACGGGGAGGTTGACTTGAATTTATCTGAACTGGAGGGTGGTTCGCCGAGGACATGTTTCCTCAAGGCCATATTAACAACTTCAAACAGTCTTCCTGTTTCATTACTAATAATAACATGATA